CTGTGTTCCCATTGGGCACTTCTTGGTGGCCAGGTGCATCTGAAAGTGGGAGTGTTCAGGTGAACCATTGTGGGAGAGTTTGAGATGTCTGAGGAAGCAACGCTGGAAACAGCTAGCTACTCACTCACTGTCCAGGGTGAGTAAAAACTGATGCCAGAGAAGTGAGCAGGGCAGAGTGTTTATTTCACTAATTCAGTGATGTCTTGGCACCGTTTTAGTGCTATTTAGGGTGCCCCTGCCCACAGGACCTCTCAGAGGAGGTCAGGAGGTAATCAGCAAATTACTAAGCTTGCAGCCTTTCTCAGAGTTCTCATTAGCAAGTGATACATTAGTGTCACCACAGGCCATCTTCGTTGAATGCCAAAAGACTGTGATAGTTAGAGGCACTGCTCTGGTTCCAATTTAGGATGATTAGATAGAAGCTGCAGAGCCATCTGTCTTTCCTATGGGGGTGGTAGTGTGTGTGGGGGGGTGACAGGGGTCCTTTGAAATTCTTCCCACCCTAGGATGAAGACTGACATGAAATACAAACACGACCATGGATCATTTGTGGAAACAAAGAGATATTAAAGCCTGTGGCCATTGAGTGGCCTCGTGTTCCTATTTCACTTGTTTTGGTTGTGATATATTTATGTATAGAAGGTGGTTGGCTGTCTTACATTGTTTAATGATTTGTATTTTAACTTTCTTCCTTAATTCCCTTGCCATCAAGGTTCTTAACATCCAGTCCTTCATCTCTGAGGAGTGTTGGCTCTGGTTAACTAACTTAGTTAAAACCCCAAATTAGGGGCCAGCCAGGTGGCTCAGTTGGTTAGATTGTGTGCTCTTAACAACAAGTTTGCCGGTTCGACTCCTGCATGGGATGGTGGGCTGCGCCCCCTGTAACTGGATTGAGAGCGGCGACTGGACTTGGAGCTGAGCTTGCGCCCTCCGCAACTAAGATTGAGGGACGACAACTTGACTTGGACCTGATGGGTCCTGGAAAAGATACATAGCTCCCCAATAAAAAGTTTAAAAAAAAAGCCCAAATTAGGGCAATTTCACTCCCAAGTATACACGTAGATTCCCCAAAAGAGCTGAAAGCAGGAACTCAAACAGATATTTGGACACCAATGTTCATGGCAGCATTATCTACAACCACCAAAAAGTGGAAACAACCCAAATATCCATTGACAGATAAATTAATCAATAAAATGTGGTATATCCACACAATGGAATATTATTCAGCCATGAAAAGAATGAAATTCTAGTATATGCTACAACATGGATGAGCCTTCAAAATACCATGCTAAATAAAATAAGCGAGACACAAAAGGACAAGCAGTGTATGATTCCTCTTATAGAAGGTAAATGCATACAGACAGAAAGTAGAGTAAGGTTTCCAGGGGCTGGGGAGAAGGAGGAATTGAAAATTATTGTGTGATGAGTACAGAGTTTCTGTGTGGGATGATGAAAATGTTCTGGAATTGGATGGTGGTGATGGTTGCACAACACTGTGCATGTCGTGAATGCCACTGAATTGTACACTTAAAAATGGTTAAAATAGTTTTATATTATGCATATTTTCCCACAATTAAAAAAACAATAACTTTTAAGTCAACGTTAGGGGCAACATCTCTATAGGGGCCTGTTAGCTCCATTCTGTCTCATGTACCACCTCAGACCCATCCCAAGCCCAGCTGGTGATTAGAAATCAGTGCCTTGGGTCAGAAGAGGGTCAGGCTCAGGGCAGTCTCTTCCAGTTGCTGGGAAATACAATTCATCTGCTCCTTTAACAGTGGGTTAGGAGAGTTGGCTATGACACGGAAAATTACACCTCAGAGGTATAAATAAATAAGACACCCGCATTGTTCAAATATCAAAAAAAGCAGGTAGGAAAAGTCTCCCTCCCACTCTTTTCTCCATTCCCTTAGTTCCAATGTACCCCAACAGGTGACTCTTGTTTTTAGTTTCTTGTTTACCTTTCTGGAAAAGTTTTAAGTCTCTACAAGCTACTATGGATACGTGTTATTTTCCCCTCTGGTTTTGTTTACCCAAATGGTAGCACACTGTTCTGAACCTTGCCTTTTGTTGTTGTTGTTCGAATTTATCTTGCTGAACTTTCTGTAAAATACACCAGGAGATTCCTTATTCTCTTTTTATGTCTGTATAATCTTCCAACATATGGAGGTTTGTAATTTATTGAACCAATCCTTTATTGTTGAACATTTAGCTGTTTCTAATATTTGACCATTACATAATTATAATGGATAGCCTTGTATGAATGTCATTTTGCACATGTGTAAGGATACCTGTAGAAAAAAAATTCTGAAAGTGAGATTACTGGATCCAAGGGTATATGCATTTGTAATTTTGATAAATACTAACAAATTGCCCTTGATACAGGGTGTCAATTTACCTTCCTACCAGCAATGTGAGAATACTTGCTTTCTGGCCCACAGATATCAAATTTTTGGATTTTTACTAGTATAATGGGCGACAAACGATATCTCAATGTGGTTTTAATTTGCATTTATCATATGACTTGGGTTGAGCAGCTTTTTATAATAAAAGTCATTTTTCTTTTCTGTGGACCATCTGCTTTTATATCTTTTGCTCATTTTTCTCTTGGGTTATTAATCTTTTTCTCATCAATTTGTAGGGGCTCTTTAAATATTAGGGAAATGAACCCTTTGCCTGCGATATTAGTTGAAAATATTTTTCCAGCTTTGTCATTTACCTTTTGACTTTGCTATTTGCCTTGCAGAATGTTTTATGTAGCCATATATATTAATTTCTTTTTAGTGGTTTTGTGGTTTTGTTATATCATGAGAAAGGCCTAACTCTCTTTGGAGTTATAACAGAATCCTTTCATGTTTTCTTTTATTACTTTCATGGTTTCATTTCTTTTTTCTTTTTCTTTTTTTTTAGCTGAGCCATCCTGCTACCTGTTGGCAGCTCAGCGGCTGCTCAGCTCGGACTGGACTCGAACCGCTGTTGCTCAGAGCTCAAACTCTTGAGCGAGCTCTTAACCAACTGAGCCACTCGGCCGGCCCTAATCATTTCTTTTTTTCATTTCAAACTTTGACCCAATTGGAATTGACCCTCATTTGCAGTGTGAAGTATGGCTCCAACTTTGTTTATCCAGTGGGTACTCAGTTGTTCCAATACTATATATTGAGAAATCAATCCATTCCCCCACTGGTTTTGGATTCTATCTGAAGACTGTGAGATGGAGTGGTTTACCAGAGTCCCTACTATAAGAGGATTCCATCTTTTGTCCCCCACTCTGTGGGACTGCCCAAAGTATACCTTAGACTTTCAGCATATGTTTCTGAAAAAAGTGACCCCAAGTGCTTTGCTCATCCATCTGCATTTCCAACCTCTCCGAGATCTCATCCAGAAATTGATCCCTATCTTGTTAACTCTTTGATGCTTAAAAAGATATTTTTGTGGGTTGGCCGAGTAGCGCATTGGTTAAGGGTCGGCTTGGGAAACCAGTTCTGAGCAGCAGGGCCCTGGTTTGGATCTCATTTGAGGGACAGTAACACTGTGCCCTCTACAGCTAAGATGGTGAGCAACTGCTGAACCTGGAGCTGGGCTGCCTTGAGTCGCCGGCGACAGCGTAGGCTGCAGCCCCTGCTGCAGTGGGCTGCTGTGAGCCACCATGAGAGGCTGGCAGCCAGCGTGAGTGGCTGTCCAATGGCTGGCAAGCGACTGCCTCACCCAGGAAGAGCGCAATGATAATACCAACATGGGCCAGTGAAGCGACGTCCTGCACAACTAGACTGAAGAATAAAAAGGACAACAACTTGTCTGTTCCCCTCCCCCAATTCCCCAATAAAAATCTTTTAAAAATATTTTTTTGTCATATTTTGTCTAACTTTTTAATTATTATTCATGGAGACAATTGTTCTAAATTGCCTAGTACACTACTACCAGAAGAGGAAGTTCTGGGTTAGAGTAGTAGAGCTCCATATGTTGAACCATCCTTGAATCCTGGAATAAGCCCCACATCATCATGATATATTAATTTTAATATGCTATATTCTATTTACTAATATTGTATTTGGACTTTTCACATTTCTATTTATTAGTGAGATAGTCTATATTTATATATTTAGTGAAGTCTTTACTGGTTTGGCATCAGTCTTGTGATCGTTATTTTAAAAGATTTTGGAAATTTTCCTTCTTTTTCTGTAGTCTGTAACAGTTTAAGCAACCCTGGGGTTAGCGTCTCTTTAAAGGTTTGGTAGAATTCCCCTGTGAAGCCATGTAGTGCAGTGGTTTTAATTGTAGCCATCGGGACCCTTGCTGGGGGGGCTATGAAGGGTAGAATTGTAATCTAAATGACAGACAGTATTTGATTCACACCAATGCACACAGCTGGAGCTGGAGCAATTGTGTGATTAAAAAAGTTAATTCTAGTGAATTTCCTTTAAATACTATGAAATTATAAAGATTAAATTTTTGTCTTTTGTTGTTACAAGAGTCAAAAAGCTTTAAAATCTTTTCTTTTCCTCATTTCATGCTCTAGCCTTTTTCGGAGAACGAAATATGTTCAACCACTTCCCAAACTTTATATTCTGCCTATCTCACCCATCAGAATTCTAGAGATATGTCTAGTTGCTTCAGGCCATAGTGATAACCTTTCCTGCAATTCCCAAAGCTAATCTCCTATGAAATTTGACATTTTGCTCCTCAGGAAAAAAAAAAAAATCCTATTTCTAGGATTCTTATCTGTGCTGTTCTCCCTCAAAGGGGGAGGGTTTCATCTCTGATTGCTCCTATAAGTGGAGTAAATGTGATCATTGAGAATAAAGGTGAAGGCAAGATGGCGAGGCAGAGCATCAAATCGACAGTCTAAAGCAAAATCAAAACAGACAAACAAAACCCCTTTAGCAGCAAAACTCCTTTAGGGCAAAGTGCTATTTCTTTTTTTTTTTNACACACACACACACACACACACACACACACACACACACACACGCCCTGCCTTAGCCTAAGCCTCGCTGGGGAGCGCGGCATCTGCTCTTTGCTCTTGGAGCTGCTTTCTGTTGCTTCCCCGCCCATCTGTGCTGTCAGCAGCACCAGTAAAGTTGGCCTCGAACTTAAACGGAACTGAAGGCTCCAGCTTCCAGGAACTCCGTGGGGCAGCCAGGCAGGACCCAGCCTCTGAACTTGGAGCTGGCCCTCCCAGTCCGCAGCTGGCCCTTGCTCCTCTGGTGACACTTCTGCCCCTGACCTGTAGGCCCCCAGCCTGGGCTGAGGAATGGTGCGCTGAGGTCCCTCTGGAGCCCCTTGTTCCTGCCTGGAGCTGGAGCAGCCCAAGGCCTAGGTCCACATGGCCAACCTCGTGCAGTCTCAGTTTCCCCTGGCACGGGAGCCAGGGACCTCCTCACCCCTGGACCTGCCGGAGATGGAGATGCTTCTCACCAAGGTGGAGAGCAAGGATGACAAGCCCCTGAAGCTGTCCAAGTCCCTTTCAGGGGCTCTGGACCTGGAGCAGAACGGCCATGGCCTGCCCTTCAAGGTGGTATCTGAAGGGCACCGGGAGGCCTCCCTCCCTCGGTCGCCCTCTCGGGCCAGTTCGAGGCGGGCGTCCTCCATTGCCACCACCTCCTATGCCCAGGACCAAGAAGTCCCCAAAGATTACCTCATCCTAGCCATCGCTTCCTGCTTCTGCCCTGTCTGGCCCCTCAACCTCATCCCCCTCATCTTTTCCATCATGGTAAGTGCTGTTCTTTGTTCCAGGGCAGGGGCTGGGCCCAGGGGGTGGCAGGCATGTTCCCTTCGCAGGCACCAGACACCCTGCCTAGGGTGCAGAGAAAAGAGCTGGGTGTTGGGGGCTCAGGGAGAGACCCCCCTTTCTCAGCTGGCCTACTACTCCCCTCTGAAGAAGGTCTAGGGGTCTGCAGAGCTTCTGTTTGCTGATCTCTTTCATCTCTGCTCCTGGGCATCACAGCTCCACTCTGCACACAGCCCTGCTGAGGAGGGGGCCCCAAGGACCCCCTCAGAGCGCAATTCTGCACTGCAGAAAGACAGCCAGGTTGGGTCTTGCATTTTGTGGGGTGTGTGTGTGGGGTTTGTCCTGAGGGGTCATTCTTGAGGGGGGCAGTGTATCAGCCGAGGTTGCAGCCTGCATGGAGTCCTAGTGTCTGTGTACTCAGGAGGGGACCCAGCCCCATACAACTCCTGCCCCTCAACCCTGGGCCACCTGGGTGTTCTTAGAACCTTTGCTAGCTCTTGTTTCCAAGAGCCGGAGGTGGCTTCCCTGCCGTGCCCTGAGGGCCCTTGGTTCCTGGCTCCCCCGAGGCTGCTTCTCTGGGGGCCACTTCTCACTGGGGCCCTCTGGGATTTGGCAGTTGCATTGACTTCAGCATTTGTCCTCAGGGTAGGGGAGGCCTGGGCCGCGGGTGAAAAATGTGTCGGAGGGCATAGCTGCCCTTGCCAAGTTGGGCATGTGTGCTAGTCTTTGCTCCTTACACACTTGTGCTGTAGGGTTTTGAGTAAATTGTCTTAGATTGTCCCCAAACCAAGACATTTGAATAGAGCTACTTACAGAGGATGCACAGATAATGTCAGTAGATGTTGGCAAGTGACTTTTGAGGTCCAGGAAGGAGAGAGAGAGGCAGGCAATGTCTTTCCGAATGAGGTTAGGAGCAGGGGGAAGTAAACTGCCAGCTCCCAGCTGGTCAGGACGGGAAGACTGGGTCGGGAGACACTGTCTGTTTCTCTCTGCAATGACTTCACTGCTGAGTCATCTACCACCCAGCATCCCCCGTTGCCCCCCCCCCCCTGTGGTCACTGCTGCTGCCCTGGGGCTGTCCTCTGAGAAAGCCCTTATTTCCTATTTCCTTCTACAGCTCCGCCCACTTCACTGATGCTTAGACTTTAGATAGGAAAGCCTTCCCTGACCCCCATCCAATCCAGCACCATTTACCAGGATGTCAGGGGATACTGGCAGTGTTCCTGAGGCCAAGGGACTTGGCATGGGCACCAGAGTCAGGGCTGGGCAGGGCCCAGGGTGGGGCTTTTGAGGAGTTTCCTGTGCTGCCTGCTGTACTTGGGGATTGCTGAGGGCAGGGCCAGGCCCCAGGGGTGCAGCCAGTGGCTGTGGGCAGGCCAGCCTCTTGGTTACAGGGAGAAGCCCCAGCAGGGGAGACAGGCTTTGGGGAAGAAAGCCACGTGAGGGTTCAGGAGAAAACAGCTGCTGGAATCTGTCTCATAGTGGGGGCAGCAGGGTGCAGGCTGGGTAGAAGCTGCCTTTTGTCGAAGGAAACCTGGGCCCAAGACTATGAGACCACTAAACCCACCCTCTGGGCATTTCTACGTCCTTCTCAGGCTCTTAAATCAGGTCTGATGGTGACTGGGCTTGGGGTAGGGAAGAGGGAGGTAAACCAGACATCATCACCAATTCCCAGGAGCCCCTAGTCTGGTGGGGAGAAATTTGTCAGCAGATCCTTAAAACACATTGCAAGAAGTACCCATGCTAGACAAAACCACAAAGAATCATGTGGCCTCGGGCAAGTCACCTAAACCTCTCTTCTCTTCAGTAGTCCCACCTGCAAAGCGGGTGTCACCATAACACCTACACTGTAGAGCTGTGTGGAATGAGATGAGCCATACAGAGTGCTTAAGAACAACACCCAGCACATGTAAGTGGGATTACATGGTGACAATTATTCTGTGGCAGCTGAGTGTCTCCCTGGTGAGGGATGGAAGCCATCACAAGTTTGTTCATTTTTTTGTTTTGTTTTTTTTTAAAGGTTTTTTTTTTTTTAAATTGGGGAATTGGGGGATGGGAACAGCGCTGGGGAATTGGGGGAAGGGGAACAGACAAGTTGCTGTCCTTTTGTTCTTNCTGTGAAGGGCACTGTGGGAGAGGACATTATTTGGAGAGGGGAAGTGGGACCTGGGAGACTAAGGATGTGGTCAGCCCCATCTCTGGACCTGCTGCAGGTCTGCTGTCTACAGTGAGCCACAGTGAGAGTGGCAATGGTAGAGTCTGGGCCAGTCTCAGGGAAGGAAGCTGAAGGTAGGGCCAAATTGCTTGTGTGTGTGTGTGTGTGTGTGTGTGTGTGTGTGTGTGTGTCCTGCATGAATCCCAAGTGATGAGACAGAGCTTCCAGGGAAGAGTGAGTCAGTGCAGGCATGGCCTCTGTGATGAGGGACAGACTTAGAATCCAGGAAAGATTATGGGGAGGAGATTAAGGGAAGTGGGGCCTCCGGCCAAGGTTGCTGAGGAAATAGGAGGCATAGCCAGCTCCCTAGAGATATCTGGGGAGCTGCTTTCCTCTAAGACGAGCACTCCTGCACTAGTGTCTGGTCTCACTCAGGTTGACTGGGCTAGTGGTGCTGGTACTGCTTGCTGGGTAAGGACCCATATGTGCCAGGGGAGGGCTGAAGGCTTTCTGGTCTCCTTGGATCGCTGGGCTCTTGCCAGCTGTGGGGAAGAGCTCCACAGCTCAGAATGGGGGACCCCACAGGAGCTGGAGAGATGCCCTTAGGCCCATAGAGGAATGAGGGTTTCCACAGAACAGTCGAGATGAGGCTCACTGCCATCATTAAAGATGTCTTTGCTTTCTGCAAGCCCCAAGACTGGCTGGTACACTGGGCATCCTGTCCCCAGCTCACAGACCTCCAATTTCACAGGGCAGATCACAGGAAGGCTTTGACTCTGGATCATAAGGGCCATCAAGTCCAGCCAGGAGCAAAACGTGGGACTCTGGCCCCAGGCCTGCCCACTGAGCCTTCTCTCTCATGGAGAGGCAGTGCCATGGTCTGAGAGCACAGAAAGGGGCCAGACGGGCCTGGGATCCAGTATCTGCTCTGTCACTTACTACATGTGTGACCCATGGCATCACTTAACTTCACTAAGCCTCTAGTTCCTCACCTCTGACCCTGTTGATTCCACCTCAGGGTAGCTGTAAGGATTAACATTCCTTCATTATCTATCGTTTCTGGCAATTAGAAGGCGTTCCACAAATTGTTACTGTTTATATAGTATTATAATCTTATGACAGGCCAGCCTGGACCATGCTTTCATCTGATTTCAGCCTCAGATTTTTATTCCCTGGAAACATTATTAAATGACCAGCAAGTCCTGCTTTCCTATATTCCAGGATAGAAAGAGCCGAGGGTTCTTCTTGCCCAGTTGCACTTTCAGCCCTGGGGAGGTGAGGACGCCCTCTGCAGGTAGAAGAGTGAGTGTGCAACGGAAGTGTGAGGTCAGTGGGAGGGATGTAAAAGGATTTCTCAGTCTCCTCACTGACCAGCAAAGTGACCTTGGCAAATCGCCTCATGACGTTGAGCCTTGGAATTCCCATCCGTACAATGGGCTTACATGATAACTACTTACATCAGAGGCTGTTGTGCGGACTACATGGGATAATGCATTTCAAACACTTAGCATAGTGCTTGGCCCCGGGCAAGTACTCACTGAGTGGAAGCTATTAAGATGTAATCTATTCATAAGGTTGTTATAAGGAAAGAATGCATGGGAAGGTGTTTTGTAAACTAAAGTCCACAACACATTAGTTATTATCATTATTTTATCAGGGCTATGAGTTTGAGGGCACATACCTGTATGTTTGCCTGCTGATGTGTATTTGCTTAGCATTTGGAAGTTTTTTGACATGCACACATTATGTGCATGCTTATATAGATGTGTGGATGTGTGAGTATTTGTGTGTGCATATGTGTATGTATTGACCTAAGAGGTACCCCTCCCTCTCCCTGATGCTTTAGGGGATCCTAGTCCAGAATACGTTTAATTATGTGCATTTCAGGTTTTCTGGAACCATTGCTTGATTTTGAAAAATCTGCTCCCCAAGACCATATCCATTCTCCAAGATGACTGGCCACTGTGGAGAAAAGATACATCTGTGATTGTTAAAGAAATGGAAGTTTTCAACCGAGACCAGATAGGTTTGTCCAAATATAGAAAAAAATAGTACAAGGATAGGTGTTAGATAAATATAAAATGGAAAGTACTGGAAACAGAAATCATGTAAGACAGAGCTGCTAAAAGTTATGGCCATAAGATATGAACGACAGGTGTACATAAAGACAGAAATTATGTATCTATAACGTTATTACCATACCAGTGGCCTACTCAAACAGTGTTCAAAGGAGAGAGGGGTAACTTTTATTTTTTTTTTAAGATTTTATTGGGGAATTTGGGGAGGGGAACAGCGCTGGGGAGTCGGGGGAAGGGGAACAGACAAGTTGCTGTCCTTTTGTTCTTCAGTCTAGTTGTGGAGGACGTCGCTTCACTGGCTCATGTTGGAATTATCATTGCGCTCTTCCCGGGTGAGGCAGATTGGTCGCCGGCCTCTGGACGGCCACTCAAGCTGGCTGCCGGCCACACATGGTAGCTTATGGCAACCCACTGCAGCAGGGGCTGCAGCCTACGCCGTCGCTGGTGACTCATGGCAGCCCAGTTCCAGGTTGAGCTGCTGCTCACCATCTTAGCTGTAGAGGGCAGTGTCACTGGCCCTCATGTGGGATCCGAACCGGGGCCCTCTTGCTCAGAGCTGGCGTCCCAAGCCAGCTCTTAACCAATGCGCCACTCGGCTAGCCTGAGAGGTAACTTTTAAAGGGCAGAGAGTAGTAATTACAGCACTTTCAGCAACTTTCTAGCTCCCAAAGGGCTCTCATGCACTCAGTCTCTTGGCTTCTCTTGGAAGCCTGTGCCTTCCAAGCCCTCTCCTTATACCCCCTGCCTCT